ATTATCATAGCTCAAGAACATATGAGTAAGGTGGGAGGGAAGCAGCGCCTGAATAGGTTCTTTTTCTCTTCAAAGCTGCTAGGTGAGATTTTGTTCCTTTGCTCTCTCTTTTCTTTCAAGCCCTGATACAACAGGCAATGTTTCACTCTTGAAAGTTTGTGTCTGAATATTACATTTTATTTTCTTTCCTGAATTTGTAAAAATTAGTAAGAAGATAAAAACAGTCTTCATCGAAGAAACTGACTCAAATCAGTTGCCCTCTATAATCCAGGAAAGAAAAGCATTTAGCATTTCAGGATGGAGTGTGCAATATTAATCATAACAAAATATGAAAAAATGCAGACTTTTGCATTCTCTCTAGGTGATTTCAAACTTTTATTTGTCTCCTGTTGCATAAGCAAAAGCAATCATAAAATTTAAAAGCATCAGTTTATATAACACAGCATAGTCTGTTCCTCAATATTTTCACTATTTTTTCCCACAAAGCAATTTGAACCTGATATTTATATGTTTTTAAAGCTTTATACACACAAATCATCCAAAGTTTTATTAAATTTACAATCATGTCTCCAAGTAGCAATGTCTCTTTCTGTCACTAGAAAATGGTTTCAAAATGGCAATAATCTAAGGCTTATGTCTATACTACTTAATTAACTAAATGTAAGGGCTTGGGAGTTTTTGCACCCCTTATTTATGAGATAGCAAATCTGAAAAAAAATTAAAATCCATCTGAACCCAAGAGGATATTGGTTGTTTCCCAGAAGAACATCAGGAAAACTGATATAGTGACTTTTTATTGCTCTAAGCTTGATTAAATCATAACATACAGAAATCCTCCCGACCTCACCAAAACATTTCATTAATAATAAAATAAGAGCTGTGACTGGTAAGCTTGACTGGTAAGCTGTATTTTTTATCTCAACTCTAAAAGTTTAAGTACTGTCTGATTTAACAAAATATAGCAAATATTAAACATTAAATTGGATGAGGACTGGTCTTGCCTGAAAGGGTTTTCCTGTAACCTGAGTTCTTGCACAGCTAATGCCATGAAATTTAGAAGATCTAACATGTTTTTGTTGCTTTTATCATTACTGTCCCTGTTGAAAGAATGCTTAGGAACCCTGTCTGAATTAAGATCCTTTGTAACACACAGCAAAAATACATCTCTGTGTGGAAAGGTTCCAGTATTATAAAACATCTTATGAAATACGATAGGTAAATTCTTAAGCAGACTTGCTTCGTACATGAAGGGGGTGGAGATGAAAGCAAGTTCTAAAACACACTCCCTTAGGAAGACAACACCAATTTACCACACCTCAAACTGGAAAGATTATTTACTACTTTTGTACGTAGCTAGTCCTATTTGGAAATATTAATGTTAGGTAGGGGAACTGCACAAGACTACTGTACACCATGAAGAACATAAAGTTTTCATAGGCACAGATCCCTACCTGCACAGAAGGGCAAATGCAGGCCCTATTTTTCTAGGATTTCATGATTGAAGTGAGTAGTTTATGATTAAATACAGATTTTTTTTTTTTTTTGCACCTGCTGACTGTATTCCTTATTCCACGCTGAGTTCCTGTATTCATGCACAGCATCATCAGCTGTGCAGCCATTGAGACCACACTCTGCCTGCAGGGGCACCTGTGGAGCCCACTGCAGGTGTGTGTCTCACCACAGCTGGAGCTGGGGATGTAGAGAGTCCAGCACGGCACAGCTCATTGCACACATTGCTAAAAAGCTTGGTTGCCTCTTTAATGTGACAGCCAGAGGGTCTGCCTATAAATGCACACCCCTTCTAGGACTTTGTGATAAGAAGGGGACTTTTTCATATAAGCATTCTTTAAGATGTCTAAAATTTTACTGGCCATGTAGAAAAATAGATATCATAAAATTGTGGTTTCAGATCTTGCAGAAATCCTATTTACACTGAAAAATGCTATTACAAGCATTTGGAAAAATCCTGGAGATAGTAAGATGGAGGCAAAATGATCTTTTAGTCTCTCTGATGAGTGGGATACAGAAAGTCCTGTAGGCTTCCAGACAGAAAAAGGACCTTACACTCATTGAAGGCCAGTTGTTTTCCTTTCCTAACATTAGCCTTGTTGTCCAAGACAAAGATAATGATCTAATGGGCTATGAAGCAAGTTTTTTTGGCAGAGGTTTAGACAGCTATTCCCACCCAAGCATGTTCTTCAGGGCAATAATGTAATGACTTTATGACCAAAAAAAAATGTCAGTGCTGAAAGTACTCCAGGAATTTTAAGCAGATCAGGCTATAGACAACTGCTAAGAGAAAAACCTGGCAACATAAGATAGACAAGATAAGATAAGATAAAGAGATCTGGCTATATCCTACATAAATTAAAATCCCATTTAATCCATGTGCTTCAATCAATGAATTTTCTGGGCACAGCTGATGGCTGAACTTGGCCTAAAATCTTAGACTATTTAATTACAACTCAATGATCTACAGTCTTCAGTCAAGCAAAGACTCACAAGGTATTAAATTGCTGTTTGTGTAATTACATGATTAGGTGATAGTTTCCAGTCGCGCCAACCTAGCTACAGTAGGTATTAGGCAACTTTTTTCTCTCCTTCTTAAAAGGTCAGCAAATGGAGAAAGTATTACAGTGACACAGCTCAGACCTGTAGGCTCAGCTCCCAGTTTTTCCACCCCTGAATGGGCACACACTGACTGTACCTGCAGTAGCATTTAGTCGTTGTACCTTAGCAGGTCCACGAGTGCAGCTGTGTTCCAGCTGGCTCACGTGTCTTCTCTCTAGAAGAGAGACTGGTTAGCACAGAAATGGAACATCTGTAGTTATGTATTTCCCTAAGACCTGCAGAGCAGCAGCTACAATACAAGAGTCATACAGAACAGCTGCTCAAAGGTAGGGAGGCCACAGCCTCCCTCCATTATTTCCTTCCCTTCTCTTGTGAATTTTTAGTTGATATACAAATGTAGTTGATACACAGATGTTGCTATCCCCTATCCTTTTCTATAACTATCTCCTCTACCGTTGCTGTTTTTCCATCATCTTACAGGAAGAGGTGATATTTTCAAAAGAATGGTCTTTGAATCTGAAAAACTTTGCCTGTGCCATTTCAGAACACAAGTGCACACTATACTTGTAGACTGAGCTGGTTGCCCGAATTCAACCTGCACCCCAGTATGTGCAGAGGCCCAGAGCAGCCTCCTGAACTTGCTCCTCATCTGAGCCATATCTTTCCCAAAAATTTTGCTTGGTGCAGTTGCAGGAATACTCCCTTTGAGAAATCTGGAAAGTGATGATTGGAGTATGTTAAATTCCACCTCCCCTAGATTCTTATGAATTCCAGCATACCCATTCTTCATTCTTTCCATATTAATCATATGAACGCATTATGAATTGTTTCATATGAAGTTTAAAAAAAGATGTAATTTCAGCCTGTGAACACCACCAATGTGTTTTATTTTGGTTTGCTATATATGCATTTGTGCTTACTACACACACTGCTAGGTAAGAGCATGGCTAATGCAAGCATGGGTCATCTGTTGCACAGCAGCTGACTGGAGCTTGCATTGTGTCCTGGAGCTTTTAATTAGACAGTCCAATAAACTGTAGCTATCTAACACCACCCTACCCTTACATAACCAGAGCTGCAACACTCTGGCACCAGTCAGTGTTTTGTTTGCTTACATGATTATGACCCCAAGGCAAGAACTGCACCTGGGCATATGACACAGTCTTGGGGCACTTAGAAACGCTGTCTGCATTAAAAAGCTGGTTAAGAGTGTAATTTTATTGGGAGCTTTTCTGTCACATTTTGGTATTAGTTAAAACCCTTGGGGAAATAATGGAAACAAGAGTATGATTTTCTTGTTTAAAATGCATCTATTCTAGCAGGATTTGCTTGTTAAACCTATATCACCAAATCATTTTGGTACAGTCTATTTCTAAGGCAAGAGAGATTTTCCCATTCCTTTGCAGTTTCTGAATTCAACTGCCTTACAACTGAAAATAAGCAATTAAGGTTGCTTAACATGTATCTAGTCACATCGCAGAAATTGTATGATTCACATCACTTACAGCTGCAGAGAAACAAAAGCTTTCAGACTTTAATAATAGAAATTATTTGAGAGCTTCCATAGAGTATTAACTCATTGTTCGGCAGAGCACATAGGCATATATTTAAAAAGCAGATTTTCAAAGACACAGAAATGGATCACCTAGTCTATCTCAAATGCAAAAGTTTTTGTCTCTTTGAATATCTTTCCTGTCATCTTTAATAGGCTCTAAACGTATGCTTGAAGGTAAGCAGAGGCTTTAGAACTGAACAAACAGCATCTTAAGCAAATATTTAAGCCTGTTATTGAACTTTATTCTGAGAACCAACAAAAATCCAAAACTAGTTTAAAACCCATTTAGAATTCTTTAATGTGAATTATTTAGATATCTCCACTTCAGTTAATCATTCAAGCTGCAGAGCCAGTGAAATATTTTGCTAGAGCAATATATGATATAAAGTCAGCATAACAATAACACACAATGTAAATACCAGAAAGTTATCTCAATCCATAGTTTCAGCACTAAACATTAAAAGCTTTTTGAACTATCTGTCATAGTTTTTACAGTAAATTTTTCATCACTTATCACATCACATGGAATTAAGAACTTACCTCACAGAATTAATTTCACTTTCAGATGCAGAGTTTTGTTGTAGAGGCAGTGCAGTCTTGCTCGGCTCCAAGTTCTGATCAGTATCCCTTCATTGTGTCCGAGAACAGTTTTCTGTGTGGAGAGAGGTCCTCATTAGCAGACATTCTTCCTCGTGACAGAGACAAGGAAAATAAAAAGCAAAGGAGCAAAGGTGCATTGCAGCAAAAGCAGCAACGGCACTAAAACCGTTTCTGTACTGACCAGCATTTGCAGCTACACCAGGACAGCAGAAGTCACAACCAATGACATCTGACAGACACACCTGTGATTTTACACTTGTCTTTCCAAATGCAGGCTCTTGGCTGCAGCTGTGTGGGGCAGGCCGTGCTCAGCCGTGGAGAGCACGGGGGGCCCATGACGGTGTCGGTGGGCTTTGCCATGGCAGTCACCATAGCAGTGTACGTGTCTGGGGGGGTTTCTGGTAAGTTACTTTTTTTCTTATATAGCATTTATTGCTACAGTGTTAAGGCTCCCTTGTTAAAGGGCTTCAACTTCATGGTATAACCAATCATGAATTAGCAACAGTAAGCACCATTACAGCAGAGTCCACACCGGAGTTTTCTGAGTATATCTTGTGTGTTCTTATTTCCTTCTATTCTTCGTGTTTGGCAAAATGTCCCACCAAATTCTGATCTCAACTATGGTGTGAAAACCTTGACAGACCTCTGGGTTTTATGGGAAGTGTTATATACAAACCAGAAATCTTCTTGGTGTTGCTTTGAAAATTCTGTCAACAGAGACAATCCTGGGCAGGACAGGCACTTTGTTTAAAGAAATAACCACAAAGAGCAATCCAGCAGTCACCAGATAAAATGGTGGCCAGCTACACAGAAAGCAGAATGACCCACTAATGGGTATAATAAACAGGATTCACCTTGCAGAGTGCAATTTATTTCTTCATGTCCTATGACAGGCAATAGCAAGTCTGCTCCAATTATTCACAGAAGCAGCAGATCATAGAAAGCGGAAACAGCATAAAGATTCGGTATCAGAGATACCTTCAATGACACACTGCCCCTGTACTGTCCTTTCCCCCTTATTTCTGCTGTAACACTTGCTCAACATGTACTGGTCAGGAATCTCTCTTTAGTTGATTCCTGATTTAGTTGATATTTAGTTGAGGCTGTTAGCTGGGCTAACTAACCAGTGTCCACAAATGCCATATTGGATGCTGCCTTGTCTCCTAGTTCCACCATTCAATTTGGCCAGACTAATATCAGAAACATTAGCATAACTGTTTTTAACAATTAAAGTCTTCCTTTAAAACAGAAAATGATGGGTTGTAATGGCAATGCTGTCCATGAAAATACACGATACTTTGTGTTGTATGCAGAGTTTATATTGGCCTTTAAAGCACATGGTGCCCTTGTATTCCAGGTCTCATAGAAGCATTTCTTACCTTTCATAAGAGGTAAAGTTGGTCTGGACAAATTTCTTTAGGTATAATTAGGGCATTAGAAATAGTTGCTGTAACAGAAATTACTGCGGCCATTTCTCTTCTCTTTACAAATTCTTTTACAGAGGCACCATGCAGAAGGTTTCCATTAGAAAGTCTCACATTAGAAAGTGCTCCAGGTTCTACAAAAACAGGCAGTCTTGTCACTGTCATTGACACAAACCAGAACTGCTCCTTAATATCACACAAAATTAATTCAGCAGCACATTCCTATTATCTGAACAACTTTCAACTACAGCTCTTGGTTTACATGGAGGCAGCTAAACTCTTCTAATGCACTATCATGAAAACAAACCTGTAAAAACCTGTCCTACATTTGCACCTTTAAGGGATATTCATCTCCATCATGATGTAGAAAATTAGAGTTCAATCCCAGCAGGGCAGAGCAGTTGCAGATGTTGCAGTATTGTGCTTCCTGTGTTTTTCCCATGACAAAGGATTCTGCATGCAGTGCATTTTCTCTGTGAAAAAATAGGAACAGATATTTCAACAGGCTGTTATTATCCAGGACATGATTATTAGTGGACACTTCAGAATACAAGTTCCTATGTAGAATTTTTTAGCAATTCCTGTGGTCTTGGGTCAAAGTTTCATGTTTAAGTACTGCAAAAATATTTTTCATCAGTTCTTTATGTAATCCTAAATTAATGCTAAAAATATATATAGTCTGCATGCTTGGTGAATTTCAGCTTTTTTATTTAGGAAAATTCCCCTTTTTAATTTTCCTCCATCCACTTTTCCTCAATATCTACATAATTTCTCACTATTTTATCCAACTTAGCATTTCAAAGCCATGACTGTGATCACTGCAACTACAAAAGAAGGAGGAATACACTGTCCAAACTGAACCTTTTTTTTTAACCAGTGGCACAGGAACCAAGAATCTTGGAACTCCCCTATGTTAGCATAAGAATCCTTCAATTAGACTTTTCCTTTCCATATTTAATGTTAATCAGCCCTCTGTAATATTATTATGACTTGTCCTGGCCATCATAGTCACCCTGTATTATATACAAGTGGGGAATAAAATCAGGTGTTGAAAGAAAAGAAAATTATTAATTCCAGCCAGAGTAAGGAACAAAAGACAAGACAACAATTAATCAAGATTCACATGAAGGGCTGTTAAATTAGGTGCCATCTATCTATTTGCTCTGTGCTGAAGAATTTGAAACACTGTGAGGAATTCAACTTTTAATTCAAGACTGGTAGTACTAGGTCAGCATTTGGAAATACTACAAAGAAGGTTTTATCCAGCATGTTATCTATGTTTGTCAGTTCATTATGTATCAAAGGTGCCTGGATTTCATAAGATAATGACTCACTGACCTGAAGTGCAAACAAACACAGAAACTGTACATAGAGGCCCTTTCTCCATCACTAACCTTTGACAGATAAAGAACATACTCTTTCAGTTATTTTACCAAAGACAAAGGCCATTTTTTCCTGATATTCATACAGACTGAAATGAGACCTTATCTGGAAAATAGGCAAAGGATCCTATGTCCTTGCAAAACTTGGGGTTTTATTATTCAGTATTTATTACGAAGAAGTACCTGTTCATTTATTTGGCAATTTGTATTTCTTAAGTAGCAACCATGTATCTGTAAAAAATTAAGTTTTCCAAGAGCATACAATACCTTTTTTGTTGACAAAAGACTTGAGGAAAGAGACCATATGACATAATAAATGTATTTTAGAAACTAAAATTGTCATGAAGAATTCCAGTGTTACTGAAATCTTTTTCATGTGTGAGTTCAGATGTAGCTACTCCTGAATAAAAAAGGGAAGGAAGTTCTACAGGAAACTGAACTTTGTTTCAGCACAGCTACTTTATCAGTTTCCTTATTATGGACCTTTCCAGAAAGCACAAGAACCAGATAAAAACATGGTGAAGGACTATGCACTGCTGTCCCAAGATCCCATCTAGGCACAGTTCACCAACAGCCAACATGAAACTGGAGAGCCCTAACATTATTTGATTTTGTCTCCATGAAAATTGAGTTCCTAAGTAACCCCAGGCTAAAGACAGGGACACAAACATTACTTAAATCCAGGGCACTCCAGAACTGTCTTAAGACACATGCTCAAACCAGTAACAGTCCTTAATCCTAATAAGTGTTTGGGACACTAAAGGAATGTTCTTCTACCCCAGTTCTCTCCTAAAAAATAAAAAGCCAAAGGCCTTGAGGAGAGGGAGTATGTGCAGAATAAGGGACCCTCCCATCACAACCAATGGGGCAGGTTACTATTTTTCTAGAAAAGTTGTCTGTAAGTTGCATACTGCAGGACAGTAGTCTGATAAAGAGCACAGTCCACAAGCATCAAGAGTAAAGATGGATCTTAGTGGCTTTTGTCCTTCCTCCTCTGATTTCATTCAACTTGTTTCAGTCTAATTGCAGTCAGCATTTGACTGCAAAATAGCACGTAGAAAACCACGTACCGTTCTGGTGTTCAGAAGTGCCCACATTTTTACAAATCCTTCACTTATTCTCGTGTATCTGAGTCATCTACATGACTCAAATTTTGATTTATTTTTCAGGTGGTCACATAAACCCAGCTGTTTCATTAGCCATGTGCGTGACTGGAAGATTAAAATGGACCAAATTACCAATTTACATATTAGCACAATTCCTGGGAGCATTCATTGGAGCAGCGGCTGTCTTTGGGATTTATTACAGTGAGTACACCTTAGACATGTTCACAGGACAAACTAGAGGTCAGGCAGTCTCTAAGGCCCCAATTTTTCAATGAATGTCAGGCAGGCAGAGGACTCTTGTTCACACAGGGCTAATGGTAGGAATGAAGCTAAAGCAACAAAAGAAGAAAGGAAGGAGCATAAACAGTTTGACGGGAAAAACAATGGCTTGAACATTCCAGGTGCCCTACAAATTTACTGAAACACTTAATACTCCAGGAAATGTTCTGATATTTAGAAAAATTATTCATGGGAAATCAGATACTCTGAGATCATGTATTTCTCAGTAAGGATTTTAAATTACTTAATAGCCAGGATATAGGGCTATCCATCTTACAGGAAAATTAGAAACATTAAAGACCTGCTACAAGTGCCTGTAGGCAAGAATCACCAACATCGTTCATTGAGGGTACAGGATATGAGATCAAGTCCCTCCTGACAAAAAATCAGACCACCCTTGAGAAGTGACTCTCCAAGGCAATGAACTCCAGGTACAGTGATAAACAGGTCACATATTTGACAGGGGAAAAAGAAAAAAAAAATCCCCCTATCCTTGAGGCATTGAGTTTTTTACACAGGGTTCCAGAAAAGGAAAAACCAGTAACTGACTGACCGAATCCACTCAGTTGGATCACCTGCTTCAACCTCCTACCCCAAAACTCTGCTTCCAGTGGCCCAGCCCATCTCCTCCAACATCTCTCTCCTTTGGACATTATGTCTGCAGACTGTGCTGGGTCTAGGTGCAGCAGAGGAAGAACAAAAATGGAAATGCCCCTCGTATATCAGCTCAGTGCTCAGTACCCACAGTAATCCCAAAGACAAAAATCTTTAGGAACCATGAGAACTGTTTAGGGAAGAGTTTACTTTTTTTAAGGTTAGTGTTAGAATTTGGATACTGGAATTCTGGAACAGGATTTCCATCTGAATTTAAGTCCTCCTCAAGCCTGACAGAATTAGGACTGTGGCCAGGATGCAGCAGTATGTCAACATATACATAGGAGCCACTGTATTCTGCCACAAGGGCAGCAGTAGGTTAAGAACCCAAAGTAGGAAGCTTAGGTCTAGAGTCAGGGACATCTTCCTTGTATTCAGGAGTGCAGGACTTTCTCATATCCCTATCGCTTGCTGCTCAAGTCCCCCTCTTGCTCTTATTAAATTTCCAAACATCTTCTGTAGTTTTTTACTTCCTCAGCTTGTAGGACTTTTCAGTGTACCTCAAAGAATACGTGAAAGTAATCACTGGTAGAAAAAGATACACAGGAGATCATCCCTTTCCCCCCGCCCCGTAACAGTTAAATGCCACAGAATTATCTGACACTTCAAATGAGAGCCTGATCTAAGTAAACTCTCTGCACTCATGTTGTGACTTTAAGCAAAGCTAGAAAAAACAGAAACAAGGAGAAACAGATTTGTCTGCTGGGTTCAGGAGGAGCTTATCACCCTCATCATGACTTCTATGGGAGATAGGGAGCTATTTCTTTATTCACAAGTATCATCTCATCACCAGATCCACTAATAAAATAATAGATTAGAGCTTGTTACTCATGTCTGCCTATGAAGATTTGAATACCCCATTTAATATCTTCCTATTTCTAAAACTGCACAATTGTCAAGTGGAATGGCAGTAATTCCTGGTGGCTGGGAATCCACAACTTAGAATGAGGATGCTGTGCATTTTTTGGGTCATCGTGACAAATGTAGCACCTCTTGCAGAATAACACATCTGTATTCAGAATCAGAAAATGCTTCTTAGCACTGAGTTTGGAGCTATGAGCAGGGGAAAACCAGGGAAAGCTGTGTGAGTACTTCAAAGCACAGGAGGAAAAAGGAGACAGGAGGGTCTGAGGAATACACCACCTCAAATCCAATAATAATGCTCCTAGGGAAAAAAAAATCAGATAATCACCAAATTGTTTGGATTGGAAGGGACCTTAGAGATCAGTTTCAGCTGAGAAAGTGAAGTGCACAGACCTATCACATATTTTCTAGTCCTAGAAAACCTAGAAAAGTTTACAGAGAAGTGCAAGCAGTTGCTGGCTTTTTTCTACAGATGCCTTTATGGAGTATAGTGATGGAAAACTTGAAGTCACAGGACCAAATGCAACTGCACAAATCTTTGCAACATATCCAGCTCCTTATCTGTCCCTTGTAAATGGATTTGCAGATCAGGTAAGTGCACTTGCTATCTTAATTCCATAAATTAAACATAAAAAAACCATGTAAAGCCAAGCAGTAAAAAAACACATAGATCTAAAAAGTGTACCAAATCTCACCATTACAGCCAGATGGCCAATACAATGAGAATGCAATGTTGTTTGCAGGGGGTTATATTTTAGCAATATTTTACAAGCAAAATAATTTCTAGTTGTTCTTTCTCATACATCAAGTTAATTGTTGCACTCAAAATGTCTTTAAAGTAATATACGTAAGAGGTTTTGCTCAGCATAAATCAATATTTCTCCATAAATCTCAGCAGTCATGTCCACTTACATCAAAATCCAGCCCATTTTGTAAACCTATTATTCCTTAAATAATGCTTAAACAGTTTAACATACCCTGAACAATTGAGTTTTCTGCTTCCACAAGCCTCCTCTCTAACCTTATTTTTGCAGATAGATTTGTAGTATTTATTTTTCAAATAACTGAATCTGAAAAATCCTCAACTTCATTTCTAAGCTTTGTTCTTTAATTCCACTTATGCAAAAAAAGAAGTTTCATATCTTTTATATACTTCTAATCAACTTACCCATCTTCTTCGGGAATACATGAAATAAATACTGCATGAGTAAGATATTGAATAAAAAAGGGATGCCACAAATACAAAAATTCATTATGTAAAAGATTGTGCAATCAGGCTTCAAAAAAATTTAAACGTTATTTTGAAGTTCTGTAATACAGTTCTGATCTTTGGATCAGTCAACAGAATTTTCCCTAAGATATTTTTTTACCCATGCATGTTTCAAAACAATCTTAAAAGCAGACAAAAAAACAAATAATTTTTAAATCCCTCAAACTTAAGCTTCTTCAAATCAGTATAGAAATTGAACATTTTGATATCGCTGAAACTTTTGTCTGTTTTCCCATCAAGTTAATTATTAGCAAAATCAACATTGACAAAGCATTTGATTTAAGCAGAGCTGTACTTGCATTGAAGTAATTCCAAGAAAATTTCCTTCATCACCTCAATTAGCATATGCAGTACAAAGTTCATGGTACAGTTATACGTGCAACCCTAATTTGGATACTTTCTAATTTTAGCTGTTCAGTTTTGACTTGACAGATTTCACTTTTTCTTCTGATATTTTACAACACCTGGATAAAGAGATGCATATCTAGTCTAAATTATCAGCATAAACTATAATCACATAAAACACTTCTATATCAATGGAACTGATTGCATTGCTATAGTGCAGAACTGCTAAAAATTAAGTGAATAAAAGTGTAAAAAATTGACAGGGAAAAAATGTGAAAACAAAGCATTAGACCTCACACAGGAGATGCCTTTTAAATCCTCTGGTTTTTGCACTTTTTTTTTTTTATTTTCCCACATCTTTGTCTTTCAGCACAGATATCAAAACTTCTCATTACTGTGAAGTAGAAAGGCACGGAGTTCCAAATTTTGCTATTCCATATAGTGGGATAAAACTAAATACCAGCTCTAAGCCTCTCCAATCCACAAAGCTGCCATAGCTCCTCTTTTCATTATTGGAAAGAATCTACACTTATTTATTCAATATTCTTTTCTTTGCCTTGGCCAGGTGATGTCAACAGCTGTTCTTCTTCTGGCTATATTTGCTATTTTTGACACCAAAAATAACAGCGTACCCAAGGGCCTGGAGCCAATTGCAATAGGACTTCTTATAATTGTTCTTACTTGCTCTTTGGGAATGAACAGTGGCTGTGCCATGAACCCAGCCAGGGATCTTGGCCCAAGGCTCTTCACAGCCATTGCGGGATGGGGGATGGAAGTATTCACGTAAGTATGCCTGGAGATGAAGTCAAATGCTCCTGGCTAAAATTGTTTCTAGGAAAGTAAGATCCTGATTCAACATGGTACCAAGTCATACTTTATATACATACAGGTAATTCTTTGCATACCAGAAGCAGCTATTCATGCACTTTAAGCCAGATATCCTCTAGGAACTGGGCTTTAAAAAGGATTTCCTGCTCCTAGGGCAAATCAAGCATGCATAATCTCTAATATCAATCATTGTTTCAAGAAGAACCTTTCCCAAAATATTAGAGCTTCTTAGAGGTCAGTGAAAATATGAGTGCTTTCTTCTTGTATCCTGCAGCTTTCAGGGGAAAAAAATCAGGAGAGAATTAGGTAGAAATATTTATTGGGTACTGTAAAAAACAGAGACATATCAGATTGATTTAGCCTATGATTACTTCTGAGTTACTGCAGAAATAGCAATCTAAAAGCCTGACTTCCTGGCTGAGAGTGAAAGAGTGAATGGAAAAGCTCCCTTCTTTTTCCCACATTTCAGAGCCCTCTCAAATCCCCGTGTGTGCACACACACGCTCTTGGCTCACCCTATGCACAGCTAATTAGTTGCACATCAAATCCACATCTTACATGTATCCAGGGTAAGAGGCATTCTGGGGTATCTAAGCAAGAGTAATCTGTCACCAGGAAGCAGATATTTTAGTATTGTTTGTTTTCCCAGTTATTTACAAGTAGGAATCCCCAGTAGTATTGTAGGCCACTGGAGAGCTCTAGTTAGTAGAGATTTTATTTTAGCAAGAAATGAAAGCAGCACAAATAATCTCTATTTATTCAGTATGATTTCTATTTACACAAATCATGTACCTTATTTGAGGAAAGCAGTAGCAAAGCTTTTTGCATACAAAAAGAGCCAGGTATGGCATAGCTGAAACAGGCACACAGCCACAGCACAGCCCAGAGCCAAGGCTGGATGTAGCCCAGCTCTGGTCAGCTGCTGGTGGGACATCAGCTCACTGCTCTGACTACATCCAAACTTTTCCTCCCCTGTAGCTCTTACCACTGCACTCTTTTAAAAAGCAAGGATACACAGAGCGACATCCTATGCTCAGGATTCTCCTCTCTCATACCTGTGTAATCACAACTAGTTTTGGCTGTGGTATTAGCCATAGTGTCAATCTGTAATGTATTATGAAGTTGGCTATTACATTCCTGAAAGTTTGGAAGTCTGATTATATGGTGATCTAGCCACAGAATACCTGTGAACTCCCCTTCTCCCTAGAAGTATGGTCATGCTCATTTACATGAAAAAAATGACAAGAAAATTCTACATCTGTACTAATATGGACTCTTTCCTAGTGTAGTTAAGGTTTTATATAAGAGAGAGAATGCAGTCCCACTGTATAGACCTTGTTAAGAAAATTTAAAGTCTGAGCATAAAAAATAACATACCAGATCTCTGATCCTTGCCTGAAATTACAATAATATAAGGGATGCGAAAAATTGAGGAAGAAGTCTTCCTCCCTACCTTCATTTAAAAGGCTACAGCTATAACCAAGTCCAACGGAATGATACAACAGGAATATGTTCTTGTTTCTTTACTGCACAGATCCAGGCGAGACTTAGGAGGAACCTGAAACTTGTTAGGTAGCTGGAAGAGCCACAGGAAAAGGCTGAATGATTGTAGTCAGGATCCTATATTGCCTGATGCTCTGCTGTATCTGAGCAACTTAAAGTGGTGCAGTAACAGTTAAAAATCAACCTTGGATATCTTCTTTTAAATGGAATTCACAACCTTGAGACAGGTGCTTAAGCTCTCTAGTAAAGGTATGTCCAGGAACTGGGACCTGAGCATGAAACCTCCAAAGGGACACAAGGGGAGTGCTGTACAAACCGAGCAGAGGAACTACGCAGGAGACACTGAACGTTCTTTGGGGGAGGAAGCTTAGCTCCCAAGCCAACTGAGTCCATGTTCAAGCATCACCTACAGAACAGCCAGGACCACCAGGAAACCCTCACTTTGGAATAGATCAGATACAGAATAGCAAGACTTTCTACACTGTTCCCAAGCAAATGCTCTAAACATTGAGAGAATTACCTCACAGCAGAGAAATCCCCTCCACCCTTCTTTGCGCTTGAAGGTATAATAAACGTTGGTTTTATCCTATTTTCAGGCAGGGAACTAGACTGGAGGAGAGCCCTTCTGCTGGACATTGGAATGGTCCAGATGATAGGACTGCATTTGAGCATTGAGGGTTTTCTAAATGTTGCTGTTACAGTTCTATTCTTGCATTGTGACAAACACAAGTTAAGCTCTGCATAAAGCTATACATTTTGCGCAACACCTGAAGAAGCATTTTCTGCAAAACCAAGCCCGAAGACAAGCTATAGTGTGGTTTCCTTAGCCCATGCAAATGGTTTGCGTTTTGGTTAAAAGCTCCCATCAGAAAACCAGGAGTCTTTCTTAGGCACATGCTTAATATTTTGATAAGCTTAAGAAAAGTTTGGGAAGCAAAGTATCGTCTGTAGTGAGAAAACAGCCAGAGCATTGAGTCAAATACCAGACTGGATTTTGACAAGCAAAACCGAGCAGTAAGAGGGAGAGCGGTAGGGCTCTGCAGAGCAGCGTTTCGTGCCAGCAGTGAAGGCAGCCCGGGATACCCAGCGCGCTTCGGCGCGGTAACGCTGACACCTCGTGGCCGCCGGCACCGGGGACACGGCGGCAGCACTGAACAGAACTGCGCTGCCGGCAAGGTCCGGAGGCCAATCTCCTGCCTGCACAGGCACTTGCATGGCAAAGCGGCCTCAGAAGCTTTTATAGCATTCTTCCCGGGGTGCAGCCCGGAGTACCTCACGAACAGCGGTATATCTCTTTCCCGCAGCAGCTGGCTAGTGAAAGGTGTATCTGCAAGTTTAACCGGGCCCAAGCTCCCAGTCTCTGCAGCTCAGACGCCAATTTCCCGGGAATTCCCGCGGGCAGGCTCAGTTCTGCAGGCCAGGCGGCACAAGCGGCCCCGAGCAGCCGCGACGGCAGAGGCGGGGCTGGGCGCTGCCCGGGGCCGGCAGCAAACAGCGACGGGGCGCCGAGGGGCCTTTGGCCACCTGTGCTTGTCACAGAGCTCCTGCTCCCGTGCCAGTGACAGAGCACCGAGTGGCACAGAAACACGGCCGGGTGCCGGCTGACCTCACTGCAGTTTTGGCAGCAGCCTCTTCAAAGGCTTTGCACCCAGCATCTCAGCACAGCTGACTGCAGCTGCTGCAAATACAGGTCACGATTTGGAGAAGGTCATGCAGAAGCTGACAAGGCACAGGCCAGTTATGGAACGAGCTGAGAGAAACCTGCCAAGAAACACCTCTATTACACACCCAGGTATAAACACATCATGCAGAAGAATACATGCAAGTACTTGATAGAGCTTTTGTTCTGCTGACTAATTCAATAAAACCAAAGTCCATGCTTGCTCCAGAAATTCAAGTGCTCAACGACCATCCATGATTCAAAAACAAACAGATTTATAAACTCAGTAAAATGACATCAAAAGTTATTTTATATCCTCAGGGCAAAATAGAAATAATTCCAAAGGTAAAACATACACATGCAAGGCATTTCAGAACAAGCAGTAATAGTATAATCATCAGGGCACCAATATTTTCCCAGTTCTATTATTGCACTGTGACAAACACAAGTTAAGCTCTGCATAAAGCTATACAACTGAGTGCTGAATAATTATCCTGACAGTTTAAAAGTTCCCCTGCAGCTTCCTGTAAAGTTCGTCTTACAGATTAATTTGTCCATTTGTATTTCTGGGAGGAAAAAAACTTCTCCATTTTCAATATGCATGAAATTGAGGTAGCTGGATTTTCACTGGAGACTCACACATTTAATTAATACAGCATGTTATCAAATAAAAACACCTTAATGCATCAGTAGAGTTAAGAGACTCTGTGCTCTCACATGGATACTCAGTTATTTACTGTCTGAATGTGGACCTCTAGGAAAAGGAGAGCAATTCTACCAGCCCAATATTCCTGCATAAAAAGGTTGTTATTTATTGTTTTATACAGTTCAATGATGGAAGTCATACTTTAAATATGCCTGCAAATCTACATATTAAAATTAAATCCTATTAATTGTGCAAATGTAAACATTTCAGTGGAATCAGCATGCTAGACTTTCTTAGTGAATAGAAAAATTCTAAGATTAAGTTTTGGTGTATAAAACTTCTAAGCATGTATTTGCCTCTTGCTGAAAGACCACATTTTAAACATAGAGATAAGATCCTACCTCATGAAATTTTAATCTTGACCATTCCATTCAAGGATAATCAACTTTACAGTCACTGTGTTTTATTACATTGCTTAAGGTAAATATACTCAGAATTCCGTTTAATTTTTTACATTTGCCAAGAGGAAGATGGTATATACTATTGGAGGTGTGAACTTGCAAGTTTCCATGCAGATGAAATAAGCCACTTTTGTAACATCTGGGGACAGCACAAGTGAAGATTGCTGGGCAATAAATATGTGCCTGTTCATTTAACTGCAAGTCAGTGAAATGTGCTTTTCTCAAGGGAGAAATCATCCTCTGTCCCCAAATAGACATGCAGTAAAAAGGCTTTATTTTCTAAAATGCAAGTACAGCACACAGAACAACATGTCTGGTGCTTGATATTTATCATTTCAATCAGAACCAGCCCAGGTAGGGCAGATGAGGGTGTCACCCATTTACAGAACCACAAGACAAAATAGAAAGGTCAACAGTATAGCAAGTGGCACAGCACTGGATCTGTTCAGTGACTACGTCACAGGAAGGTGTTCACCAGAGTAACAAATAACACTAATTCTTGTTCTTTTTGTCTTACAGGGCTGGTAATAATTGGTGGTGGGTTCCTATAGTTGCACCTCTGCTGGGAGGTGTACTCGGAGCAATGATCTATGTAATTTTTATTGAAATTCATCACTCAGATCCTCAGTCAGGAGAAGACAAAGATGTGCATACTAAATATGAATTGACCAATATGGCATAAGAAGCAAAGAAATTTGTCTGTCATTGTGTTGTGGAGTTTTTATGCAAATGGTTGTTTGGACCCCTGTATGAAACCCCTATGTCTCTATTAGAAATTCACCTTTCAAAGCAGAAATTCTGTACAGAAGTTCAAAACTGAAGTCTTTCCATGAAACAATGGGCTGATCATATGCAAAATTGATATCTTGAGTATGGGAAGGCTAAATTGTCCTTTTCATATGATTTTTAGTTCAAGTTATCCAAGATGCAACTGTAGTGAGATGATGCACTGACCTGTTAATTCAACTCATATGATCTTAATGACACTAACTACTGAAAATAGTTGAGATATTGATCCAAAATTGCATAGCTAGTTAACAGGTTCAGTGCTGAATTAATATGCAAGAGCATCACTCACTTGTTGAGAATGGTTTGCCTAAATATTTAAAACAATAACCAAATTGGCTAAATGCTAATTGAAATGGTTTTAAATAACTTTACTAAAGTGTATGGAGCCACTATTGATCAGCAAGAAATCAACTCCTCAGCGATTATGTTTGGTAATTCACAATATGATCACAAAAGTAAAAACTGCTCGTTGTAAGATCAGCACCAAAGAGAAAAAGGGTAACTTCTGCACAGGGTCTTCATAGCATTAATGCTTAGTTATTTTTAGATTATTTACTTGACCTTTATGCTACCCAATATTAAAAGCCTTATGTAGAATACTAATCTGAATCTCTTCCGCTGTGCTTTCTGAATACAATTCATTCCTGTGGAGATGGCCCAGCAAGAGACTGATGCTGTGCAGAGGTCAGCACAAAGCCTGTGTCTGTATAAGCTTTAAAGAGTTCTGGTGCTGCTGATTTATATTGGTGGGTTTCATCTGCATTGTGGGAGCAATTTTTAATGTGGTAGCAGTAAGTAAAATTAGAAACTGGTCTCAGAGCTAGTCCCAGATCTGAATTCCCCAAGGAAGGTTAGATACACATCAGAGTTCTGGGTGAGTTACTTCTCACTAAAGAATAATGGTTGGACCCATATCCCTTCCTAAATATCCAGCCTTGAAAATGAAACTATTTCTGCTTAATCATTGTGAATTGAATGTATTCAGTTAAAGCAAAATTTATTTCTATTATGTATACATCTATCCATGGTTGGTGGTGGTGGTCATGAATAAACAGACATCCAATTCAGCAATGCTCCTGAGCTACTTTCATGGCTAAACTTCAGAGCATCATTCAATTCACTCATTTCAGGGTGCTCTTCCCTTTGGATTCCTAGAACTCTATTCTCTCAAATTCCACACTGCATTCCTGATTGCACTCCTGAAGTGAGAAGCCCTCTTTGCTGTCACTAATAGCCTGTGCACTTCCGTGCAGTATCTGCAGAAGATGTTCACAAAATACCGTGGTCAGAACCTGCCTCAGCATTTGGGGAAATCAGGCCTTTGTCACTGCTTGTTTTGATCACACTCCCTGGGATGCCATGCCAAATTCACAGCAGCAAAGGGAAAGAAATAGCAGGTCAAGTAAAGCTCTGCAGCTCCAAGTCAGATATTGCAGCATACTTCGGGGAGTATAATTCCAATTTTAATTATGTTTTTAAGAAAACTTACATAACCCTAATGAACTCAGGCTGCCCAGAGACATATCAGCCCTTTGCAAAATGCTCATTTAATTCAGTGGCTCTCTGCTGTGGGCTAAATTCTGCTATATCCATGCACATTTGATTGCATCCCTGTATCACTGGCTAGAGTCTCAGGAAATGGGGTGCCAATGCAGTCGCAGACGATCCTTTGTTTTACCCCACCATTGCAGTGAGTGCTGTCTCTCACCCCTTGGCCATCCCAGGGCATGAGCACTCCCAGGTGGCTGCCAACCATCTATGTCTGCAGAAGGATTACAGAGGTAGAACCAGCCTGAGGGCCGCCCTCTGCTCTGAAAAGCACTTGCTCTTCCACTGACAGCTAATTAACCAGAAGTAACCAATTTTATCCAGAATGGTAGGGGCAGGTTATCACTTGTCTTACAATTTTGCATAGTCAGGTAGGCTCCATATGCATCACTATATTGCTTCTTCAATCCACCATGGAAAACATGGGAAAAAGGAGAATACAGGTCAGGAATGAGAAAAGGGCAGTTTATTTATACAGCCTACTCAGGAACTAGCCCACACTTGCTGTATGCCTGTTCATTGGCCAAGGTACATAAAGTTGTTCATTTTCTCAAAATGCTTTTGATCACAACATGTTCTGTCTATAAAACATAAAACCTTGTTTTTCCTATTCATGCCATTCCTATGCACAGAATTTCTGTATGAGTGGCATTTACTTGCCTGAAGTTGTTAACATGCAAATCTTAAGCAGTGACACACTAGTGTGATAGCATAACAATGTCTTAAATATGCTCTCAAATTGTTGTCAATTCTGTGTTTCCTTAAATAATTTAAATTTTAATTAATCATTCAAAATTAATATTTTGCAAATTCTTTGGGAACACATGGTATTAGTATCACAATTAATCCTGGATTCACAAAAGCCAGAACTTCATTAACAAGATGTTATAGACCTGTCTCTGATGACAATTCAAATTTCAAGGAATCAATTCCTGCTCTCAGGAAAAACCTCAGCTGATTATTTACTACAAAACCATGACCAGTATCTCCATAATGTAATGGGAACAATAACAATCACCTCATTCCATAAACTTACACAGACATTAGCTGTTTTATAAGAAACAAAACAGTATTTTGACTTTGTATGAACTGTGCAATTTCCTAATATAAACTGATATTCAGTGGTCACACTTTTATGTTAAACTAGTAATAATAACAGCTGGCAACAAATTTTCTGAAAGATGTTTTGACTAATGAGTTAATAGTAATCAGTCTGGATTTTAATGTTGAAAGAAATTAATTTCAGGGTATTGTTCAACTTTCATTTTGGGTTTGTTCTTTTTGGGAGCAATGTGTTTGTTCTTTAGAGCTAAACTTAGTACTGAGTTAAAAGTTGGCTACTGCATGCTGTTTTATTGAAGTCAGTGAAATTATTCACAATGGGTGGCAATACAGGCAAGGATAAGTGATCAGAGAACTGAGCTCAGAGTATGGCAGATATTTTACTTTCTTGGAGTTTTGTCTGTGGATCTGGATGTTCAAATATTGTGGTTCAAAATAAATACAGTCAATTCCTAATAAATGCATTCCAGTGATATATATATATATATATATATAAAAGAAATCTCCCCTCTGGCACCTAAAGACTTAAGAAATAAATAGCTGCCTGTTATGTCCTACAGCCTTGTGCTGGAGGAACAGAAGGACTAACAAGCTGGATTCCCAGAGCGCAGCCCCTGTGGCTCAGCAGCAGTGCCAGAGCAGCGGGCAGTGCCACCCACACCACCAGGGCCTCCTGGCCAGGCCCTTCTCCCCTTCAGCCTGCCCAGGGACACTTTCTGCCACAGCTTTCCCACTGCTCTAACAACAGCCAGAGCCCAGGTGGGGTATTTTGCTGAAGTCCCTCTTCAGAGCTTGCTGTTAGGCATACATGTATCGCATCAGATTTGGCCTGCAGGGCTCACAAAATGCCCCTGGCTAATTTATCCATCTTCTCTTCTACAGATTTATAACAGAGGCATGCTTTTCTTGTTTCATTTAAAAAGTACAGGAAACCTGTGCTGTGGGAACAAGGGAAAGGATAGGGGCTTCAAATGTACTCTGAAAGCCACAAAAGAAAAATAAAAACAAACAAAAATCCCAAACAAACACACAAAACCCCCACAAAAGTATATGAGGTGGCAGCAGGCATTTTATCCTCTATCCATCCTGAAGAGCCTTACCCTCCTATCATCAGTGTTCGTGACTTTGTGTTCTCCTTCCCTTCTCCTGCCAACACTCTGTGCTGTGCTGTGTCTCCATACAGCACATACATCTCCAGAGATTTAAATACAGCCTGCTTTCCTCAGTTACTTATGAATCTTAGAAAATTCTCATGAGAGCAAATTCAAGTTTCACCTCACATGCTTGGTTTTTTGGCAGTTGCTTGCATTTTTTTCTCCACTGTTCCCACCAAACAACCTTGTGTTGGAAAATAAAACAATTAACTGTAACTTCCAGTAACAGCTGCTCTTTCTCTGCTTAGTACAATCCTCTGCATCAGAGACTACTTATTTAAAACATGCACAATTTTAAAAGACTTTTTTTTCAAACCACTATTAAAAATAAATCAGGATCATCCAGGAAAGAAAATGCAGCACCCATCAGTTACTACATTGGATTTTTGTCTTCTATTTTGCACTTACAACCTGTTAAACAAATATATTTAATTATTGTTCTGTGAGTGTTAGTGCGTTTGCTTGTTTGCACAGTATAATAGCACAGTCTCAAAGGAGAAAGTAGTAGGTAAATATTTTTACTGGAGTTTCTTTGTATATTTGAATCAAATATTGGAGAAATCCATATAGTACTAAGCTGGACACTACACAGTTATATAATTTTTCTCTCTTTGATGACCACAACATCATTCCAAAGGTGTCTCTAAGATAGAGAATATGAATAACCAGCAGCTTATTTCAGCAATTATTTCTGATCACCTATCAGACACACATGTATATCTTGGGTGCAAATTCTGACACTCTCAGTGCCATTAAGAGGACCATTTTAAGCACATTAATACTATTATTTTATCAGCATTAGGCACATGATAGTCTAATTGGTGAAGAATACTTTCCACACCCTCAGAAATAACAGTACTTTGTTTCCCTGCACAACTCTTCTCAGGAAACCTTGCCTGCCTTCCCACTGTAAACACGGCTGTGGATGAAAAAGCAGCAAAGTAAACAATATGTTAAGACTTGAAAAGTCAGCATCTGAATAGAAGGAAATGAACAATCTCAGCCAGAACTGAACAGATGCAACACTTTCTGTAGCATGACTGAGGTGTCGGATAACAAACATGAAGCCCAAGCAGCAGCACATGCTTGGCAGCAAGCACTGCGAAATTCAAGAGGCAGGTGTTTTGTTAATGCCTCTTAAGTAGACTTACAAAATTTTATTTTAGAATAAAAGGACTAAATTGTGATGGTGGTGTTTTCCATAGCAGAGGAACAAAATTTGATGTTTTGAACATCTTTCAATTATTGAAACAAGGGAGAAAAATCAAGAGTGGGGCAGAGGGGGAAGATGGAGATCTCAGTGGAGAAAAGAGAAAGCACAGTAGTAACTCACTCAATTTCCTGTCCTCTGAACTCTGCTGCAACTGCTCAAAAGAGGCAGATGGACCTTTCCATTAAAGCTGCACAATATAAAGATAAAAACTTCCACCTTCATTCCCATCTCAGATGTTCAACACATTAGCAACTGATGGCTGCACTCTGCAGGAGACTTCTACACAACAACTCTGCCACCAAAGGCAGGAAGCCTGTCTGGCTTCAGTGCAGAGAGAATTTCATCCCATACATGTGTATTCCCCTGGAGGATTCCCCTGGAGGATCATGTTTTTCAGGGTATAGAATCAACATGTTTCTGAAGATGCTTGCACTGTAGAACAGTTATCAGAAATAAAAATAAAAACAGTTGAATCCAGCTGCCAGATTTCCATGGAATCTCAGAGGATAAAGCAAGTGCAAAGGCTCCTCCAGCAAGTCTTGGAGAAGGAAAGCAGAACAGAAAACCTTTGATTGAGAACCACATTGGCTTCACAGCTATGAATGCTTCAAAGTCACAGGCCATTTCCAAATGTAACATATATGCAAATATCCTTAGCATCTCAGAGGCTTCTAATCTAAGAAAATACATGATGCCTGAACAAAATATGGATATGAACACACACACATTTCAATCTGTTCTGACACAAAAAGACAAAACCCTTCCTTAAAATGGAAGCCATTTCAAGCCCCATTTGCTACCACAGGTGGTTCTTTGAAGTTCAACACAGGAAGTCAACCATATATTTTAAAACAACTAAAATCTACCTAAAATATTCACCACACCTGAAAATGGATGTGTAGCCTTTTCTTCTTCCAAGTTTTTCACCTGCTTTTCTGATACAACTGGCAGCAAGCCTCTGCTTCTCTCTTGGGCACCTGTCTTGCATAAGTCTTTCACATCCACTCAGCATCGGACCCCACACAAATATTCCATTTACATGAAGAAAAAATCAATTTTGACGTAGTTTTCTATATGCATGTGGTTCCATGCAATCTCAAAACATATACTGCCAGTAAAACTGGACTTCCAACAATTCACATGGCAATTATATTCCTTTCCCTTGCCTTTGATCAGATGTGTTGCTTACAACAACCTGGCAGAACAGTAATTATCTCACTAGGGCAGACCTACAGTACACAGGAATTGGACTTCCTGATAGGGAAATCCTAGAACAAGAGACATAGTTCAGGTATTGCTGGATTTTATTTGTTGTACAAGATTGACCCTGAGAAACACTGTTTTAGAGGATATGATGCATAAATCACAATCAGCTTGCCTTCTACATTTGGGAAAGTGTTTGGGCTGAACAGAGTTCTTCTTTGTACATCTGGCTTCTAATCATTAGCAATTAGAAAGCCAGAGGTAAACATATTCCTGAAAGATATTAAGTGAACTTCAGAATGCAGCTATGCAGGGAGAACAAGGAGTGTCAGAAGCTCCCTTCACATGTAGAAATTTAACTTCATGCCCAAAGAGCAGCTGTGTACAGCTTAGGAAAGTGAAAAGTTGTAAAAGAACTATGAGCTGAGCCTCTCTGGTGGTGTTTTAATGTTACCATGACTGAGATAATCATACTAGCTTGTTTTACTCTCAAACTTATTTTTCTTAATAAATTTGTAATATCACAGTGTCCAGCTATGAACTTTGCAACTGTCATCATTTTCACTGATGCCCCTGAAGGTGTTCTCCTCTGCTCCAACTCTACAATATTTATTTTTAAATAAACACAAAGGAAGTCCTTTCCTGTGTGCTCTTATTTGGTCTAATAATAAACACATCTTCCTTCATGATCTTCCCCCTCTGCCCTGGTATACACAGTGATGATCCCCACAGGCATGTGGTGTGTCGGGCTGTGGGAGTCAAAGTGTCACACACCACACTTCTACAAAAATTGCAGCCAAGTCAGCTCTGGAGGGCTTCATCCCACAAACCTTCCTCCTACAATGACTTTGGGAAGTTTTTCACTGTCAGAACAACCCTTTATTCAGTAGGGCAGCTTTATCAAAAGCAGTGTCTTGCACAAAGGCTCTAGTGCTACCTCAGCTTCACTGCTATGGAGGAAGAGGACCACCAGCCTACCTAGGAGGGTTCAGTGCTGACTATAGTTGTCCAGCTGTTCTGAGAGCCAGATAAAATCTGACACTGAAAATAAAAAGAAATCTATTGTAGCATTTAAGCATAAGGAGACATCTCAGGCGTGTAACTCGTCTGCTGAGCATCTCTGACTGACAGGTATTAAGACACACACAGAAGAGGTGAATATAAGTTGTCAAGGCTGCTGCCATAAGCATTTACCCGTCAAAGAGCAGTTCCTGGTGAAAGGCAGCCCTTTAAAGAACACTTTTCTCAGAGTATCAACATTGCAGCACTATCTAGATTATTTTGTCTGTTGTGTATCAAAATCCACAGCACTTGTAAGAATTAATAATAGCCCCATACTCACTAGCAGATTTTTTTTAAGCAAAGCCTGTTCTTGAGTTTCATTTGGACAGGATGTTGTTCATACCATTACTTACTATATTTTTTTTTTATATTGTGATACAGTGCTATAAATGCTACAGAAACATTATTTTGACATAAAATATACACCGTAAGTGTGATGAGTATGGTGAGATCACATTAATTCTGAACATTTTGTTTATCTCAGTCTTGAATACATTGACTATGTATTCATCTGGCTGCTTGCTTATTTGAATGTCTTAATTAGGACATTTTGAAAATCTTAAAAGCTCTTTAGAAAGTAATTTATAAGAATAAGGTCTATTGTATTTTCACAGAAGCATGGCTTCTGTAGTCAGCAGCAGAGTAAGTGTGAAATGGAGTGAGCAAATGCAATGCACATAGGAAATGGCACCCTTGGGTCACTCAGGTCCTCTGTGCCCAAATGGTGAGGACAATAATTGGGATGTAGGGACTGAGTGAGGACATTTTTTTGCTATGTGTTTGTGTGATGCTAAGCACTATGAGGAGGCCCCATAGTCCTGGGATTAT